TTTGCAACAGTATCCTTGGGAAGGTACTGATAGGGATTATCATTATGAAGAGCTCCTGGGAAGAGTTTTCAACATTCTCCGTGAGAATAATCCTGAGCTTGCTGGAGATCGCCGCAGGACGGTTATGAGACCTCCTCAAGTTCTTCGTGAAGGAACGAAGAAAACTGTTTTTGTGAATTTCATGGACTTGTGCAAGACGTATGTATTTCTTTCTTTAGCCTAAATTTACTCTCCACTTGAATCCAAACTTGTTAATTTCAGCTTTAAACGACATTGTGTGTAGCTATTACTTGAATCTCCTGGTAATCTACATAAGATTCAAAAAGGGTTTACACTGTCGCTCAGTTGAAGTCCTTCAAAACTAATATGAATTAATGTTGCTTGAGGAAAATTGCTTTGACATGTTTTTGTTATCTCATTTATTTTCTTCTTCTTTTTTATTTTTTTTCTTTAAATCTACTCTCTTTTAGATATTTGTATTATGTGGTATTTTTCATGTTTGCACCTTGTGACGTATGTTAGTGAAATCCTGTGTGTATATACTGATTTGTTCCTTCTCCTTTTGATTTCTGCTTGGTGTATTGAGGGTTGTTTTGTGCTTAGTTCATCGTCAATATTGGTCCAGCAACCGTTGTTGTTTTCCTTTTCATTTGTTTTTTGGTGCACATTTGATGTGGTTTGTGTGCCCTTTTTGAAGAGAAAAATTTTGCGTGGAAGTTTGGTAGAAATTAAATGATTTAATGGTTTGGTGCATCAAAATATTTATAAAAACCTCGTCTTGTAGCATATATAAGTACCTGCATCTGATAAATACACTTTGTATTTCCATGTATATGTTTTTGTCAAGATACAGGGGTCTTGTTGCAGTTGTAAAGTTGTGTTATTTATTTAAAATAAATGTTGAAAATAGTTGTTGGTTGGTACTTTATTGTTTTGTAAATTGGTGTGTGTATTCGCAATAAGTTTCCCAGTCCTGCATAAGTATTTTATTTCTAGCTTTTTGTTCCCCGTTAAGTTGTTATTAATGTTCCATTGTATTCAAATTGAATTTAAGAATTTTGGTGAAATGAGTATGTTTCCCTTTTGCAGAGTGCATTTGCTGCCTTCGTTTGTATGTTAAGGTTTTTGTTTGTATGTTAAGGTTTTAGAGTGCTATGTTACTTGGATTGTGCCAATACTATTGATTTATTGAGAATTTGTTTTTGGATTAAGGCGTAGTCTTTTTGGATTTTATATGTTCAACGGGGCTAATGTGACCGGAAAGGGGTTTTTTTTTTTTGGAAAGTGTTTTTGAGTTATATGCGTATAAAACTTGTTTTATGTGTTTTGTTGTCTGCCATTATTTGTTTCCTTATTTGTTGATTTATGAAACCATTGAGTTTAAAACTTGTTTTATGTGTATTTTCTGCCTGCCATTGAGTTCTACTCTTGCAATTTTTTGTTTTGTGCCTATGGGAAATGAATATTCAATATTATATTAAGTATACCCTTTTTAGAATTTTTTTCTTCAATTCTAATTTTTGTAGAAATGTAAATTGATGCATTTGTTCATTTTCTTATTTTGAAATCAGATCGTCAATCAAACTTCTGACCTGTCTTTTGTTGCATCACCTTGGAGATGACATCTACTACTAATGAGGTACAATGTTTTTTGTTGAAGAAAGAGTTTTGTAATTTTTGTAACAAATCTCAACTAAAAAAGAAAATGTTTCTTGTTTGTTGATACTGTTTGTTTAAGGAAAAACATTATTTTTCTTGAAACATGTTTTCTGCTCAAGAAACATGTTTTTTCAATCCGTTAGCGTGCATGTACGTAGAGCGCATGCCTGGGGACGTCTTTCCGAACAATCCGACTACACAAGATATTGTAGATTACAGAAAGAAAATGGCTTTAGATATTTTTGCAAACAGGAAGCTTGTGGAATCAAAGTAAAACTTTGGTTGGATTTTCGGTTTTATGTTGTTTTTGGGTTGAATATGTGTACACTATGATCATTAAATATTGTTGTTGTTTTTGGGTGTAATTTGCATTATGTTGTTAATTTTTATAGATTGATTCATGTTGTTGAGTTTGTTGAACATTGAGTTTGTTGGTGAATATGTTGAACAATGAGAAGGAAAAAGCTCATTTAACAATGCGAAGTACTAAGAAAATTACTCCTAAAAACTCCTAAAACTAAGAACAACTAGGAAAATTCACAGCCGGTTGACCGAGAGAGTACCTTAACTGCGGTTGGAAGTTCAATCGCGGCTCAAGATTGTCCTTGCTAGGTTGAAAGTTCAAAATATCATTCACAGCCGGTTGACATCCCAACCGCAGTTGGCCGTGAGTGTACCTCAATCGCGGCTCGAAGTTCAACTGCGGCTGAAGACAGGTTTGATTATGGGCTCGAAAAGTTTGTGCCATGATGTTTCTTGAGCAGAAAATTGGTTTCTTGTTCAAGAAAACAAGTTTCTTGCTCAAGAAACAGATTTCTTGAGCAGATAACAGGTTTCTTGTTCAAGAAACCAGTTTCTTGAGCAAGAAATTGGTTTCTTTAATATGAATGTCGTTGGTGTTCGGAGTTTGCGCGATGTTATTTCTTGAGCAGATAACAAGTTTCTTGTTCAAGAAACCCGTTTCTTGAGCAAGAAACTGGTTTCTTTCATATGAATGTTTGTGTTGAGAGCGCTATGAGCTACTAAATTCTCTATCTAGGGTTAGGGGATTGTTGTTCGAGTTTGAAGTTTGCGCGATGTTTCTTGAGCAGATAACAAGTTTCTTGTTCAAGAAACAAGTTTCTTGTTCAAGAAACCAGTTTCTTGAGCAAGAAACTGGTTTCTTGAGCAGATAACAGGTTTCTTGTTTAAGAAACCAGTTTCTTGAGCAAGAAACTTGTTTCTTTAATATGAATGTTTGTGTTGAGAGCGCTATGAGCTACTAAATTCTCTATCTAGGGTTAGGAGATTGTTGTTCAAGTTCGAAGTTTGCGCGATGTTGTTTCTTGAGCAGATAACAAGTTTCTTGTTCAAGAAACCAGTTTCTTGAGCAATAAACTGGTTTCTTGAGCAGATAATAGGTGTCTTGTTTAATAAACCAGTTTCTTGAGCAAGAAACTTGTTTCTTTAATATGAATGTTTGTGTTGAGAGCGCTATGAGCTACTAAATTCTCTATCTAGGGTTAGGGGATTGTCGTTCGAGTTCGAAGTTTGCGCGATGTTGTTTTCTTGAGCAGATAATAGGTTTCTTGTTCAAGAAACAAGTTTCTTGAGCAAGATACTTGTTTCTTTAATATGAATGTTTTTGTTGAGAGCGCTATGAGCTACTAAATTCTCTATCTAGGGTTAGGGGATTGTCGTTCGAGTTCGAAATTTGCGCGATGTTGTTTCTTGAGCAGATAACATGTTTCTTGTTCAAGAAACCAGTTTCTTGAGCAAGAAACTGGTTTCTTGAGCAGATAACTGGTTTCTTGTTCAAGAAACCAGTTTCTGAACCGCGGCTGGAAGTTCAACCACGGCTCAAGATTGTCCTTCCTAGGTTGAAAGTTCAAAATATCATTCACAACCGGTTGACCTCCTAACCACGGTTGGCCGAGAGAGTACCTCAACCGTAGCTCGAAGTTCACCCGCGGCTCAAGATTGTCCTTGCTAGGTTTCTTGTTCAAAATATCATTCACAACCGGTTGACTTCCCAACCAAGGTTGGCCGAGAGAGTACCTCAACTGCGGCTCTAAGTTCAACCGTGGTTGAAGACAAGTTTGAGCAAGAAACTTTTTTTTTTCTTTTGTGATTTCTTCTTTTTTGTATTTCTTTTTGTTTCGTTTTCACTTCAACTTTCATTCATCTAAAAAATAACTACAATAAACATAACAAAACAACACACATCAATATGTCCCACAAAGTTATTACATTAACCACACACAAATCAATCATACAAATAACAACCCAATTATGTCTTGTCACAAAGAAAACATTCATTTACGATCAATAAAAAAACAAATAAATGAAAAAAAAAACATATAAACTAGGTAATGTTTTGAGGACACTTGTTCCTACGGTGGTCGGGTTGCTTACATTTACCACACAAACGAACTTTGGTAGCGGGTCGTCCAGATTGAGTTGGTTGCTCAACATTTTGGACTAACGCAACACAAGTTGTAGAGTAATGCCCACTTTCATAGCATCGTGTACAAATGATTTACTTCGAGAGCTCAAAGAAGGGCCAGTAGAAGGTATGCAGTTTGACCTTGGTCTTCCGGCTTGCTTGGGATTAATAGGGCATTTGACAACCATCAACTAGGTGCTGTAGTTAAGTCCCAAGTACTTGGATGCGCAATTGGCATGATTTATGGGCTCGTAAAGTTTGCGCCATGTTGTGGTCTTGTAGTAGTCGTGCACATATCCATACACCGATTCGTTTGTCTTCCTAAAAATGGTACATGCATAGAAAAAATAATAATGGAATACATTACTACATGTGTAAGATAACAATATGTATATAAACGTTGAGGCTTTTATTAAATAAAAAAATGAAAAAATTACCCGATAGCCTTAATCGCATGTGAACAGGGCAATAAATCCACCTGAAAGAGATAACAAGTGCAAGTCCGATCATTCAAATTGATGACGAAATTCTTGACCCCATCCTTCACGTGGTAAACGTACTGATTGATATTTAAAGCTTCCATTTGGTCCGTTTCGGTTTTATAATCTATCAAACGCTTAGATATTGATGGAGGAACTTCACACTCAGTCTTTTCTGTCTCGACACGTCTTTTGTGAAACCACTCCTGCATAATGTTTCGATACATTCAAACAATGAGCAAACAGGCAATTTCATTGCCCAACGCAACCTATTGTTAAGCACCTCACAATCATTTGACGTCATGAAACTATATCGTCTCACAAGACATTGACTTCGTGCCCACCTAGTTGGAATGGCTTCATCAATCAAAACCTTTTTTTGTGTTAGGATATTTTGCCTCAAGCATGGCCATTGACTTTTCGTACACAACGGGAGAATAAGTGTATGAAGCTTTCATATATAAACCAACAACTTTAGACCCGTGAATTCGAATATTTTGTCGAATGTGGTAGGAACATATGGCATGTATGGCTTCAGGGTAGACAACCACCATAGCATACTTTATGCTCGGGTGGCGATCAGAAACAATTACTAAATTTTCCGGACATCACAAAGTGGAGCGAAGCTTTTGGAGAAACCACATCCACGCACTATGACATTTCTTATCGCCGATATCAAATGCCAAAAGGAAAAATTTGTTCATTTCCGTCCTTTGTAGTTGTTACAAATAAGATGCCTTTATACTTACCCTTCAAATGCGTACCGTCAATCACAATAACGGGTCGACAATAACTAAGGAAATTGTACAGGAGACGCGAGCAGAAAATAAACGGCTCAAGAAATTGTACAACAAAAGTAATGAACTCTAACACACGACCCCTCATTTTCAAGCACAAAAAATCGATTTTTTTAACTCTAAATAAATATTATTTCAGCAAAATAAAATGGTGCAACACAAATCAATAATGTTGGGAACAAAAAAAAAAAAATGTAAATCTATTTCGAATTCTTTTTATTTAACATAATAAAAAAAAATTAGGTTTAGGTCAATGTAGCTTTTTTCTTCTCAAAAAGGGATTCACTTTATGTGTTGGAGATTATTTTTGGTCCAGATGATTCACTTACGTGAATTTTGGGAAGATGATTTTTTTTTTTTTTTTTCTTTTTTTTTACAGGAGACGCGAGCAGGAGGAGAGAAGGTAGAGAGAAAGAAGAGAGGAGGAAGAGAGGAAAGGGGTCTGCTGTTTTTTTCCACTTTTTCAGAATTTATTTATTTTTTTTTTTTTAATATCTTTGGTAGGTAAATAATAAGTAAGGGTACAATGGTACTTTTGCCTACCAAAATGGCTAGATTTTATGTTTCTTACAAAAATGGCTATATTTCATCTAGTACTTCAAAAAAGTACTATATATCTCGGGCTCTGAATTTTGTCATGGACAGGGCTTACTTAAGATTGAGGAGAAGGGAGTGAAAGTTCTTGCATTACACGGGTTGGACCTTAATGAACCTTGGATATGTCATTCTTTAAATGAAAATTATGTACAACTAATTTTACATCCTTAAATCTGACAAGGTTTGTGGACGATGTGGTAGAAGCATCGGACGGCAGTCTGTACTATAGTGTCGCGAGTACAAAATACGGCCTCCATAACTGGATCCTCGATGTGCTGGAGGCTAAGCCGCGTGGGCAGCTTTTGAAATATGACCCTTCGTCGAACACGACATCTGTTCTACTTGATGGCCTCGGATTTGCGAATGGCGTTGCCTTATCTGCGGACCAAGATTACTTGGTCTTTTGTGAATCTTGGAAGTGAGATCAGTACATTCATTCTTTTTCTTTTCTTTTCGATTAAATTTTCAAATCATTGTTTGATTTGTGGAAGTTGAGCAGGCATAAGTGCTTGAAGTATTGGTTGGATGGAGATAGAAAGGGGAAAACAGAGATTTTCACTGATAACCTTCCTGGAGCTCCTGACAACATAAACCTTGCCCCGGATGGTTCATTCTGGATTGCTTTGATAGAGGTACGAATCAATAGTACTGGAATTCCAATGTATTACTACACTACAAAAAAACACTACAATTCCAACGAAAAATTCCAACGGCAAAAATTTCCGTTGGAAATTCCAATGAATATTCCAACAAACTTAATTTTATGTTGGAATAAGTTTTGGATAGTTGAGGAATTTCAACAGATTTTTTCCGTTGGAATAGCCGTAGGAATTTATTTCTATAGGATTTTCCGTTAGATATTTGTTATTCCAACGGCCGTTTTCCAACGGATTTTTATATGTAGGAATATCCGTTGGAATAACCATTCCAACGGAAATATAAAAAATTCCAAAAGAAAATTTCCGTTGGAATGTAAGAGTTTTTTTTTTTTTTTTTTTTNNTTTTTTTTTTTTTTTTTTTGTATGAAACAATTAATTTAGGAATTAAACATTGAGAAAATTGTAATTTTTGTCATGTATGTTTCATTACTCTAACTTTTTCGTCTCATTTGAATTGTTTTTTTTTTTTACTTTATTTTCGTCTCTCATGATTGCAAAAAAATTATAAAAAGGTCCTGAACATACATAAGGGGCGAAATCGCAATACTTTTTGCAAAACCTAATGGACCTTTTTGTTGCGTAAATGCCCTTTTTGTAACCTTTTAACAAAATAGCAATTCAAAGAAAACAAAAAAGTTAGGGTAATGAAACATAGAGGACTAAAATTGCAATTTACTCAATAACATTAAACGGAGTTGTAGTTATTGTATAAAAAGATAAATTATTATGTGAACTTTTCCTTATGTGGTGCAGCTGCATAGTAGGAAGCTCGGGCTTTTGTACAAGTGGCAATTATTGAGGTACTTGATAGAGTCTCATCCTGAGCTGGGAAAGTGAATGGCTGGCTTAAGGAAGACAGCAATGGTGGTGAACGTGGATAGAAATGGCAAGATAATAAGGGGTTTCGACGACCCGACTGGAAAGGTGATGGCGTTCGTAACATCTGCACTGGAGTTTGAAGGGCACTTGTACTTGGGTAGTCTTCACAATGATTTCAGAGGGAAATTGCCATTGCCAACTCCACCACTTTAATTACGTACAACGCTTATTGTTGTCTCAACCAAAACTTTTCAAGTCATGTTATGATACATTATGGAAACAAATAAGTTTAGCTGTGCATCTACGTTATGAATAGATTGCGATGCATTAGTTCACAAACTCATTTTGTCTGGAAATTTGTACACGTTACAGAATGAGGAGTTTTGTCGGACAAAATATATGCCTCTAGATGAATCATATTTGCTTATTATGTGATTAGGAGTTTAAAGGAAGTCCCCACTAGTCTGAAACAAAGAAAAATGTAAATCGTGAATACTCGGCGTCCTAATCTGATTGGACAATATCTATTTTGTACGAAAATGTCAATCGTGAATACCCGGCGTTCTACTATTGTTAATTTCAAGAATATATGTTTATTAGATTAATTAAAATTAAAAATGAGTTGTAAACCACTACTAGTGTTAATCGTGAATCTAAAAAGATCACACCAAATTTTAGATGATGACAGTTTAAAATTGGTATTTCCAATCTATTAATATATAATAAGGATTAACATAATTCATTTTTAGAAACACTTTCCCGCCAATTTCATTAAATATTGCCTAAAAATAGTAAATTAACAAAATTGTGATTTATTAGCATATCTGCTTTTTTCGTCTTTTTTTAGGAATACAATCCAAAACTTTTATATTGGTAGCTAATATGGAATCAAAATCCAAATAAATCACCTCTTTTTGTAGCAGCATATCCTGCGTTTTTATGGAGCCTGAAAAAAAAAAAAAAAGATTAAACTATATCACTTCATCAACTAATTAAATAATATAATAATACATTTGGGAGATTCATAAGATATTCTCGAATCCTGCCATTATAAATTAACAGATTAAGAATTAAATCATTTTATAAGATCTCTACTTTTATGAAAATTATTTCGTTCAGTGCAATTTCTTTTATCTACAAGATTTAAAAATTAATTATTAAAAAACTGAAATCATGTTTACAAGTTGACAATACATATATTTTTTTTACCACATAAATAACAAAGTAATATTATTGGACATGTTATGTTCTCAATTTTATTTTATA